CTGGAGGGAAGGCCTGAATAAACATCCATGTTTTTAATTGGGTTTTAAAGGTGCCCAGCGTGGGGGCCGTGCGAATCGCCGGAGGGAGATTGTTCCAGAGGCGAGGAGCCACCGCCGAGAAGGCCCGGTTTTGTGTCTTCTCCTTCCGGGCCTCTCTCGGCGTCAGGCTCCTCAGCCTCACCTCCTGACGTGTTTGAAGTGGTGGCTAAATCAGATTTCTGATAGTCAGAGGATAAGGACTGCAGTGCCCCTCTGCAGCTTCTTTTTCTTACCAATGGTTAGCAGACTATCAGTAATAAAATATTCCCCCCAAAAGAGAAAGATCTTCTCATTTTTTAAAAAAATGGTTGAAACTGTTCTTCCACCCATCAGGTAAGAGCCATTGAGGTTGCCCAGCACAGGACATGATATATCACTGGAGGTCTTCTTGGGGTAGATGGGTTGCTCTGTGGTCATCAGGGATGGGGAAGAGATGGGCAGGCTGCCTGGCATGGGACGGGGATGTGCCGCTGGAGATCTGAGGTGAGGTACATCACTCTCCAGTAGAAGGGTAGCTCTGAGATAGAGAGGTTGCTGTGGTCAGCAGGGGGAGGAGGTAAAGAGGCTGCCCGGCACATGCAACTCCATGGTTGGCTGCCTGACCCGACAATCAAGTTTTCTCTAGGTCCACCCCAGTGTTGCTTAGGGAATTTGATTGACAGGAGGAGGCTGTCTGGCCAGGGAGGTGAACTGCCCCAACATGACACAAACAAACCCCCCCCCAAAAAGGGGGTGTGTGAAAAACGTTTATCGATTTGGTTCGTTGTGGTTCATGCACGTTTCCTGAGCTGGCAACGATACATACAAACTGAGGAACCAGCTCAGTTCATGGGGTTCTTGGGTTTGTGGTTTCTTTTGTGCCCATCTCTAGCTGCCACATTGAAATGTTTATTTGAATAGAAAGCACAGATTTATACAGATTAAGAAATTCAGGAAGATTTGAGGATTGTCCGGAAACAGCAAAGAAAGAATGGAAGATGGCTGCCTCCATCAGCTCTGTTGACAGACTACCTTCATTTGGCTCCTCTTTTTCCCAAACAGGCTTTTTCTATCTGATTGTTATAACAGGCTTGTAACTTTTAGACCTGGTGCCTCTTTCCTTTTCCAATCCACGTAACCCTTTCTCCTCCTGTGACTTTTAGACCATAAAGCGAACCGAAGGGGCTGCATTATTATTTTTATTGATTTCATGCAAAGTGATCTGGAAGCCTTTACAGTTGTAGAAAGGGCAGAAAAGTTACCAATGAATACATAAATGTTTTAGAAAAAAATTAAACAAGAGCCTTAGTATGCGGTTGTTAGACTCCTTTTCTGGTAATGCTTATACTATTTGCATGTTCAAAAATCTGGCACGGTCTATCCCCCACACCTCTCAGATGTGACATCCCAAATAAACAAAATAGAAATCTCCAGCCCATCCCCCATCCCCAATATGGGTACCTGACAACACATTTCTATTTCATTCTGGCCAAAGATGCTGGTGTGTGTTTTTTTTAAATAAGAAAGTTACTACTTTTGAAGTTTGCCACCATTATGAAAGCTTTTCTAAAATCTCAAGGCTAGACTACTAGAACATGCTCTGTATAGGAGTTACCCATTGATGATTGTGAGGGGCCCTTCATTATCTATGAACCTGGCAACTGAACACCCATGAACAGGGGGTATATTATTATCCTGTGGGAGCTGTCCACCCTCATTTAAGCCAATATAAGCCAACTCGCTGAGGGAGTGCAAGCAGCCCATTTTCACGTGTACATCAATGCTGCAGCCCAGCTCGTACCTCTCTGCCTCACCACTCATTCCCACAATTTGGTTGGAATGATGCTGTCGCCACCACCAGCCTCCTACATGTGCAGGCAGGCATAAAAGCAGGAACTGCATCAACAGCAAGTCAGATGCCAGCCTCACCATTAAGGGGAATGAGGCAGCTTCCTCAGGCAGCAGGTTTTTGGTGTTACATAAGAGGACCCCTGCTGGATCAGGCCAAGGACCCACCTAGTCCACATAAGAGGATCCCTGCTGGATCAGGCCAAGGACCCACTTAGTCCAGCTCCCTGTATCTCACAGTGGCCCCACCAGACGCCTCTGGGAGCACATGAGACAACTAGATACCTGTTACCATGTCCCTTGCATATGGCATTTGGAGGTACTTTTCTTCTAAGCCTACAATGCCCCTTGTATATGGCATTTGGAGGTACTTTTCTTCTAAGCCTGGACATTGTCCATCCCTATCATGGACTTTTCCAACCCCCTTTTAAAAGCATCTAGGCCAGATGCCATCACCACATCCTGTGGCAAGGAGTTCTTAAGGCAGAAAGCCTTTGATTTGTTTAATGCATTGTTATGACTATATTTTTACTGCCAGGTAGATGAAAAGATGTTTGTGAGATTTCTCGCTTCATGCGTCAGAATAATTTCTCTGTCTTTGGATAATATATGCACCCCATTTGCTTTGCATGAATGTGTGTCAAGCTGCCATTTGCTGGTACAATTCAGGCAGCAAAATGTCTTGGGCTAGGCATGAGCAAAGCTGCACTGTGTGAGACACTGGAGGGAAGGGAAGGGAAGGCAGAGATGAAAAAGAGGGTTTGAATATCTTTGTTTTTTTCCCTTCAGGCTAGCAAAGCGGTTCATGAGGGGTAGTAGCACAGATAAGAACATTGCAGAGTGCTCATAAAGGTTCTGGCTTTTTAAATTTTTGAATGGGATACTTTATGTTTGTAAGATTAACCACCTGCTTGTCTTTAGGGCAAGGAAGTTGGAATACTGCAAGGAAATAATGTGGTTTTCAAAATAGCCATATTAGTTTCTTTCAACATGCATAAATCAAAATTTAAAACTGAAATATTGTGAGACTTTAACATATTTAATTTCAGGAAGGCTTTCCCACATGGTTAAATGTTAAAAGTGTCAGGGGGTGGGGGAGAGTAGCAGAAGGACCACTCATGCTTGGCTGGGACTGGCCAAAATGGGCAAAGGTCCTAAATGTCTCATTGGGTAAGTGGTTACATTTGTCTACATGTACATTCAAGCCATCACCATTGCTATAGGGGTGGGGGAAAGCCAGGAGGAAAAAAGCAAATCATTCCCCCCCCTCATGAGTCTCTGGATTTAAAAGGGTACTTCACCATTCTCCAACCTGGTGGCCCTCTTGATGTTTCAGACTGCCATGCCCACCACCTCCATGAATTGATTCTGCCAGCTACAGCTGATTGGAAACATACTTCAAAACATCTGGAAGAGGAATGGGTTGGGGAAGGCTGATGAATATTCCTTAACAGTGACCAGCAGGCCAACAAAGTGAAAGCTTTTTACCCTGTAAAGACGCAACTTAGTCCTACTGAGTCTATTGTTGGGGCTTCTATACTATTCCTGCGCCACCCCCTCCACCCTTTAAACCATCTAGCCTTATCCAGAAGGTGAGTCATAGCAACTGGACTTCTTTCTTGTTAGGTGGAAACGTTTCGTTACTCATCCAAGAAGTTTCTCAAATCTTCATCTAGCCTTGTAAAGATTTTTGGAAAGTTCAGAAGTTTGCCAGGTGGAAACATTTCGTTACTCATCCAAGTAGTTTCTCAAGTCTTCATCTAGCCTTATAAAGATTTTTGGAAAGTTCAGAAGTTTGCACAAAACTATACTGGTATTTAGAACTGGCAATTGGTATTTACAACTTACAATTGTGGATTTTGGGTTTTCTTTTCAACACAGTACTTGATGAATCATGACAAGTGTGCTGCACAAGCGCAAGCAGCAGCAGCAGCACCAACACCACCACAAAGTAGTGAAGGCCCCCCCCATCCCCACTATGCCTCCTCACAACTAATACACTGTCAGCAGAACTCTTTTGTTAAACAGATGGTTCAAGTAAACAACCATTTCCTCAAGGCCTTTTCTGAACAGCCTCATAATTTAAACTGAACCAAACCAGAACTGGTTGTATGTTTAAAGCAACAAAAGACCTTATCAGTTGCTGATCTCAGCACAACTGGAGCCTAGTGAGCCCACATAGTCTCTCAAAGCACAAGTGTGAATGACGAGGAGGATTAACCACCTGAAGGGTTCCCAGTAATGCCTGTTTCTCTTAACCCTTCTTCAGAAGTCATGACTACAGTTCGTGAAATGCATTGTGTTAATACAGAGGAAAAGCCAGTTCAAATCTGAGCGACACTCCTTAGAAAGAAAGGTACAGTGGACCCTTGACTTACAGAATTAATCCGTACAGTATTGGAACGGTGGCTGCAGGTCAAAAAGTCTGTAGGTCAAGGCTCCATTGACCTACAATGCATTGAAAACCGATTAATCCCGTAACAGGCCGTTTTTGTTCCATTTTGGTTTTTTTCTGGTCTGTAAGTCAATTCTCAGGCTGCAAATCAAACCTAAATTTTGTGGCCAGAGAAGTCTGTAATTCAAAAAGTCTGTAAGTCAAGCCGTCTGTAAGTCAAGGGTCCACTGTAAAAGGTAAAGATTCCCCTTGACATTTTTAGTCCAGTCGTGTCTGACTCTAGGGGGCGGTGCTCAACCCATTTTTCAAGCCGTAGAGCCAGCGCTTGTCCAAAGCAAGCGTGACTAGGGAGCGCCGTTTTACCTTCCCACCGAGGTGGTACCTATTTATCTACTCGCATTTACATGCTTTCGAACTGCTAGGTTGGCGAGGAGCTGGGACAAAGTGACGGGCGCTCACTCCGTCACGTGGATTCGATCTTACAACTGCTGGTCTTCTGACTCTGCAGCACAGGCTTCTGAGGTTTGCCCACAGTGCCACCATTAAAAAGAACATTTTCTTTTACCACTTTCCTTTTTTTCTGCTATAGAACCCAATCCATTGGAAAATAGACATGGCTCACTAAAATGAAAGGAAACTACACAAGAACAGGGCTATAGGATGGCAATGTCGCTCCCAAAGTAATCTCATGGCCTGGAAATATACAGTAAGATCAGTGGGATCTGCATCCATGGTTTCACTTATCCACAGTCTGATTAATAAAAATATTAAAAGAAAAAGAATCCAGAAAAAAAACCTATTTTCACATGTGTACTCTCTCTCTATTATCTGTGGTTTTCTGTATCCATAGTGGGGCTTGGAACCAATCCCCAGAGGTTACTTACATACATAATACTTCTAGTGTGGCAATTTCTAATCCTTATGGAGATAAAGACAAAGTTGAACACATGAGGGTGTTTTATCTAAATTTGAAAAGAAGAGTTTGAACAGAGACTAATGTTCAAACAAACTATTATCCACTCCCCCTGTCTTGCAGTAGCAGTATACCTATCACCAATTCTTCTATAGAAATTCCAGTTTACAAACAAATGTAATCAGGTATACACAGAAGTATTTTAACTCTAGGTTGCATACAAAAATGTATAAAATTTGAATAGGGAGCCTGCTATGGAACATCAAAGTGTGATGAGCATGAAAAATCTATAATCTCCTTCCTCAGAGAGAGCTATAGGAAGGAAGAATGGACAGACTCTGGAGAAGTGCAATTCTTTGTAAAAGTTTCAGTTCACATGGTGCATGTGAGCAAAAGGGTAAGACAGCCCCTGGTCAGTGTAGCTATTTTTCTGCCATTGTTGTTGTTATGTGTCGCTTCTAACATATGGTGGTCCTATGAATGAGGCATCTCCAAAGTGTCCTGTCCTCAACAACCCTGCTCAGCCTTTTATAAACTCAAGCCTGTGGTTTTCTTTAGGGAGTTAGTCTATCTTGTATTTGATCTTCCTCTTTTCCTGCTGCCTTCACTTTTCCCAGCATTATTATCTTTTCTAGAGAATCCTGCCTTCTCATGATGTGCACAAAACAGAACAGCCTTGATTCCATCATTTTTTGTTCCAGAGATAGTTCAGGCTTGATTTGATGTAGGCTCCACTTGTTTGTCTATCTGGCAAAGCTCTCCTCCAGCATCGTATTTGAAACAAATCAGTTTTCTTCCTATCAGCTTTCTTGTCTAGCTTCCACATCCATAGAAATTCAAAAGTGTGGATGATGTTGGTCTTCGTCTCCAATGACACATCTTTACATTTGATCTTTTCTAATTCCTTCATTGCTACCCTTCCTATTCTTAGTCTTCTTCTGATTTCTAGACCACAGTCTCCCTTTGGACTGATGATTTAACTAAGGTATGCAACATCTCTTACTATTTCAATGTATTCATTGTCAACACTAAAGTTGTGTAGTTCTTCTGTAGTCATGATTTTTGTTTTCTTAACATGCAACTGCAGTCTTGCTTTGGCATTTTCTTCTTTCACTTTCATTAAGTCATTTCAATTCATTGCTACTTTCTTCCAGTAAGAGGGTGTTATCTGCATATCATAAATTTTTTATGTTATTATTAGCAGCAAGAAAACAGGTTGTGGGGCCCAGTGGTGGTGGTAACTATGCTGTAGCAGCGATCTCTGCTGCTTCAGAAGTTAGCGTTTTATGGAAACAGTGGCAGGGAGGGCACAGTGATGCAAATTGCTCACCGCTGGTCTACAGGAATGCATTCTCTGCCCTAATGCTCACCCACTTGTAGCAGCTAATGTAGAACCGGGATGAGGGAAAACACATGTCTTGATGATGTCAGGGCACAGGACAGCATCAGTCACTGCAGGGCATGAGAGGGGAACCTGACACAGAGCTAGTGATTTTGACAGGTTCCCAGTGTTCTTTACTCTAAGGAAACCCCCAAGGGAACCATTTTTAAACACTGACGAGTAGCTATTGCAAAGTTCCAAGAGCCAGAGTGGGGTACTGGATAGGTGTCAGACTAGGATTCAGGAGAACTGGGTTCAAATCCATGCTTCCCCATGGAAACTCACTGGGCTTGGCAATGGTAAAAACTAGAGATGGGTATGATCCCTGGCTTCCCTGCCCTGCCTCCTCTGGGCGTTGCCTCTGAGTGGGTGCTCCCTGGTGGGAGTGGGGCTCAGAATCACATAGGAATATGCAGAACACCTCTTGTGCTGATGGTCAAACTGGGACAAACCGGTGAACTGGAGGTTCATGCCCATCGCTAGTAAACACTCCCTGAACATCTCACGTATCTTGAAAATCTTATTAGGAAGCAATCTAATGGCACATAACAAACATTACAAACATGATTCAACCACAAATAAATGCACACACACAAGAAAATAAACTAGTCTACAAATGAATTTCACCTATCCATAGCAATCTAATAAATCTTTGTAGCATACGAGCAACTTAAATGATGTCAGTGGGGGAAGGCACTAGCTCTTGCCCGGAAACCTGCCCCTTGGAGATTATTTTGACTTGCCACAGGAGAGTAACTACGGATAAACACAAGTTAATGTAATTAACTCCTTTCAAGCTATCCATTGTAAATACAAAAAGCAGTTGGACTTTTCTGATCTTACAAGTATGTACAGAACAGCAAGAGGTTTGCTGTCTTTGAATGGCCATTCATTCAGTCCTCTCAGTTCCATTTGATTCACAGATCCAGCAGCTGCCGCCTCCAGCTTTGCCCCTTCCTTTAGATCTGCCAATGGCTCTTTTGGCTTCGCTTCCCCAGCACAGACATAAGAGCAAAACCCTGTCCCGGTGGAGCCTTGTGCCTGCACACACTGACTCAGTTTTCATTGCTAACACTTTGGAAACTTCTACAAGCAATCTCCTCCCATTTCCGTGTTCTAATTTAATGAAGTGCTGGAGATGCAGTGGGGCTTCAGAAAATTACTTTCCCTATGATAATGTCTGTAGTGTAGACTCTCTCAGCCACTATGTCCACTGGTTATGCTAGCTGAGGGGTTCTGATCGTTGTCATCAGAAACAAATAATGTCACCAAGCTCTCAAGCGAGTTGTCTGACAACCCACCCATCTCTAGGTAGAAGCTGAAAAGGCCAAGAAGAAGGACAAACAAATCAAGAGATTATTTATTTTCAGTTTGAGCACCCATCTGTGAGAGTCACTGCTGCATGATTTGTCAAATGCTTTTTAATCCCTCAGGTTGTTGCCCTTTCACATTTTATGGCATTGTATTTTTGCACCTTGGGTTTGACGCTTTCTTGGTTTTCACGCTGCTCTCAGCAATCTTCTAGTTTCATTTTTGAGGAGGAAAAGTATGATACATATAAATCATTCAACAGGAAGTAATTCAACAGATCCAGACGAATATAAGCGATTTCAGTGGAAGACATGTGAGCAATTTCCTTCCCCTGTTCTTAGAACTGCTGGTCGGCTCCTTGCCTAGCAAACTGGCATCTGATCTGCCTTTGACTGCAATAAAATGTTACAGCA